CTGGCGTGGGGGGGGGGGGGGGACACAGCTAGTGCGGGGTTGCCTCACCCCATTTGTAAGTAGGGATCTGATGTAAGTCAGATCCTTGTAACCCGGGGACTGCCTGTATTCATTTCTTTCTCTTTACACTGGGAGTAGGTTCAAGGTACACCTAGGGAAAAAAGGATTTTTTTTTAAGCAACAGATTAATTTGGGTTTTGGAGTTTCAGAACCAGAGACCGACGAAGTTGTGTTGCTGTAACAGAAGGCAGATTTTAGTTCAGTGTTTGTGTATATTCTTCTCTCCTCTGTTTTTACTTCAGACCATACGGTACCACTGATTTTAAGCAAAAGTAACCCTTTATCTCAATGAGTAGCCTTGCTTAAAAAATAGATGGTGCACAATGGCCAGATAAATTTACTTTCATAGCGCTCCTGAAGTTGTTAACTATGGCAAAACTACCCACGTAAATCAATGAAGATTTTTGTCTGCATCAGGAACCAAGATTTGAGCCTGTAGTTCTTAAAGATTTAGAAACCCAAAGTATTGTTTGTTCTCGTAAATCTTTTAAATCTTAATTTATTGTAAATTTTAAAGCTTGATATCTGTACGTTTATATATGTATTATAATTATATTGCTAGGCAGTGACAGAATGCTTGGGCAGTTTGCAAAATGATTTGATAAATTATTTCACTCCAATTCCTATTTACTGCTATAACAAATATATCATAACTTAGTTATTATATGACACATCTTCTGGTGTAAATAGGCCTAGTTCAAGTCAAACTAACAATGCTGAGATGCTGGCTCTACATTATAAATGTTTAGGCACTCAGATATTTGAAAGAGCTACCACACATTGGGTTTGTTCTCCATGCATGTTTTATAGTTATAGTAGTTCTAAATATTAGATCATAATGTCTTTTAAAACGACGGCCCTGATCTTGCAGACACATACACACGTGCTGAGCTTTACACACCAGAGTAATCCCATCGATCCAATGAGATGGTGGATAAAGTGAAGCATGTGCAGAAGAATCTGCAGGATAGTTATAATTGTAACCATTTCTAATGACATTCTAGCTATTTTCCTAGCCAGAATCATTTCAATATCGACATTTCAAGTTCCCAGTCGTTTCTGTAACTATAGTTGGAAGCTTTTTTAACTCCTACCAGGATTTTATTGGACCATTCTTTCACAGGCTGATCTGTGCAAGTGGACGTCTATGCACAGAAGGGTGGAGGTGGGGGGCTTCTATGCCCTGTAAGTTGGGGGAACAGGGACCTACCCATGTGGGTCTAACTTCAGGTTCAGTGTAACTTTATTAGTGAGGGGCTGAATTTCTCCTGTTTATGCATTATGCAAAGTCCTCCATCCTGGGTTGTGAGGACCCCTGACGTCAGTGGGTGACTGGCGGGGGTAAGGGTTACTCATGTGGGGAAGGCAGGTGGGCCCAAGCCCTGCCTTGATTTTGTGTAACCATTTGCAGTATGTGCGCAAGAGCTGCCCGATCGGGGCCTTAGAAGCAGGGCCTGCTCTTGAGTTTTTGCAGGGTGGTGATTTTTGTATGATCCGTTCCGTATTATTGTACCGATCAGACACTTCTGAATAGTATGGTCATTCGTGTTATGCCCGTAATGCGCCTGGGGCCAGGCAGGACCAACAACCAGACACGCCCTGCCCTGAAGAATTTACACTCCTACACCCCTTATTAACTGTGCTCTCACAATCCCACTGAAGCTCATGGTGCGCTCCATCTGGGCAGAGCAAGAGCTTCCAACAGGGTCATCCTGAGGGGGGGGGCAACTCCCCCCCTGCAGGGCTCCAGACATGGGGCCTGGGGCTGGGGCCAGGCAGGACCAACAACCAGACACGCCCTGCCCTGAAGAATTTACACTCCTACACCCCTTATTAACTGTGCTCTCACAATCCCACTGAAGCTCATGGTGCGCTCCATCTGGGCAGAGCAAGAGCTTCCAACAGGGTCATCCTGAGGGGGGGGGCAACTCCCCCCCTGCAGGGCTCCAGACATGGGGCCTGGGG